AGCCTGACGGCTTCCCTCACCGCCGGTGTCCACCAGCGGGTTTTGGGGTTGCCGCCGCGACAGGCACCAGTGACCTTCTGGCCACAGCTCCTAACGGCTGCTTCTGCAATGGAGGCTTTGAACATGGACCACTCTGACTCCATGTCCCCAACCTCCCCCGGGATGCAGGAAAAACTCTTCCGGAGGTGGGAATTGAAAATCCCACGGACAGGGGCCTCTGCCAGGCGTTCCCAGTTCACCCGCACTACGCGTTTGGGTTTACCAGGTCTGTCCGGCAGCCTTCCCCGCCATCGGATCCAACTCACCACCAGGTGGTGATCAGTTGACAGCTCTGCTCCTCTCTTTACCCGAGTGTCCAAAACATACGGCCGCAGATCTGATGATACGACTACAAAGTCAATCATCGACCTTTGGCCTAAGGTACTCTGGTACCAAGTACACTTATGAGCAACCTTATGTTCGAACATGGTGTTTGTTATGGCCAATCCGTGGCTAGCACAGAAGTCCAAAGCACCGCTCGGGTTCAGATCGGGTAGGCCGTTCCTCCCAATCACGCCCCTCCAGGTTTCACCGTCATTGCCCACGTGAGCATTGAAGTCTCCCAGGAGAACGATGGAGTCCCCAGGCGGCACCCCTTTCAGGACACCACCCAGTGACTCCAAGAAGGCCGAATACTCCGAACTGCTGTTCGGTGCATAAGCACAAACAACAGTCAGAGTTTTCCCCTCTGCAACACGCAGTCGCAGAGAGGCGACCCTCTCGCTCTCCGGGGAGAACTCCAACAGGGCCTGGCTACAGGGGGTGCCCCGGTTTCCCCTTTCCGGGCGAGGTGGCGGCGGTCCTTCCTTTGTTCTTCATTGGGGTCTTTGTGAATCGCTCTTTGTCTGGTCCCTCCCCCAGAACCAATTTGCCTTGGGAGACCCTACCAGGGGCTAATGCCCCAGACAACATAGCTCCCAGGATCACAGGGACACTCAAACCCCTCCACCGCGGTAAGGTGGCGATTCATCGGGGGGTGGCATTTTATTTTATTCATTTTATTTAATAAATGTGCATTTATTTGTTTCATAACATATACTCGAGTCTTCACCTAATTGGTGGAATACTTTTTTTTTTTTTTTAATACTCGAGTCTTCACCTAATTGGTGGAACAGAGATAAGAGAGAGAGAGAAGGGTTGGGGACACCTACATATATGCTAATATATGCAGGTGTGGAAGGCCCCAATAATTTTCCTCATGAAACGCCTGAAGCAGCTGATATTGTCCGTGTTGGTTTCTTTTGGACATAGACCCTCGTCCTCCAGATGCGACATGTCAATGATGAAGTCGTCAGGTTGAATGAAGGCCGTCGGAAGGTCATCTTCTACTTGCATCATGTCAATGCAGAATTCCTCAGGTTGGAGGTTAATATTTCCATGGTCCTCCCATGACATGGCAGACAGAGATGGTGGATCTGGACTTTGGTCCTTAAAGTCTTTGTGTTCTTCCCATGATGTAGCTAACTGACAGGGAGCCGGACTTTGGTCGTTGAAATCATGGCATTCTTCCCATGATGTAGAAGAATGCCATGAAGCCGGACTTTTGTCATTCACGTGTGCTTGCTCTTCCCACGATGTGGCAGATAGACAGGGAGCCGGACATCGGTGGTTGGAGTCTACACGTTCTTCCCATGACGTAGCAGAGAGGCATGGAGTTGGACTTCGGGAGTTGCAGTCTGCATGTTCTTCCCATGATGTGGCAGACTGACAGGGAGCCGGACTTTGGTCGTTGAAGTCTCCGCTTTCTTCCCATGATTTTGTAGAATGCCAGGGAGCCGGACTTTGGTCATTGAAGTCATGGCATTCTTCCCATGACGTAGAAGAATGCCATGAAGCCGGACTTTGGTCATTCACGTCTGCGTGCTCTTCCCACGATGTGGCAGATAGACAGGGAGCCGGACATCGGTCGTTGGAGTCTACGCTTTCTTCCCACGATGTGGCAGACTGACAGGGAGCCGGACATTGGTAGCTGACGTCTTCAGGTTGTTGTAGTGACGTCGCAGACTGGCTCGGAGCAGGACTTTGGTTGTTGAAGAACGGATGCTTCAGAACCTCCTGAGCTGTGATCCTCCGACTTGGATCAAGGGTCAGCATACTCTTGATTAAGCTGACAAACATCTTTTGATCCCCTTGGTGTTCCTTGTCTTGCACCATATGCTTTTCAATGTCATCAAGAGAATTAAGTTTGATCCTCCTGGTGTCTGATGCACAGAATCCCTGCTTATATTCATCTGGGGTCTTAAATGTCCAACGTGATCTGCCATGCTCCTGGGGATTGAACAAAGTGTCAGTATAGCATCCACAGTCCAGGACATCATCAGCTGGCTGGCCTTGGGTTTGTACGATGGATTTGAAGACATCATAATCCGTATCGCCAGGGTAGAGTGGGCACCCCACTGCCAGCTCCGCCATTACAAGTCCTAGAGCCCACATATCGACGCACTCATTGTATGGCACGCCCAGTAGCATTTCTGGTGCACTGTATGAGAGGGTCCCCATCCAGTCACCTTGTTCTACTGTTGATCCAATACGTGCCACACCAAAGTCGATAAGTTTCACTTGCAGTGGGCTCTGATGGCGGTTCACAACCATGATGTTGACCGGCTTTACATCCGCATGTATGATGTTAACGGACTGTAGGTGAGAAAGTGCCGAGGCCATTTGGTACAATACAGGCCTCATTTCGCCAACGGTAAGACGCCCACCTCTATGCTCATGCAGGTAATGGTGAAGGCTCAAATCCAGGAGTTCAAAGGTGATGCATATCCGCTCCTTGTCGATAAAGAAGCCATCCCACTGGACTATGTTGCATGAGTCTGGGTCAAGACGCCGCAGCTGCTTCAGGATGGCAATTTCATCAATTGCCATTTCAAGAACGCCTTCCTCGTTCTTGTTCACCTTGATGGCTACAGTCTTGTTGTTGTCTGTGTTGCAGCACTTGGCTACAACACCAAAACTGCCCTCTCCAAGGATTTTCTCTACCATGTAGCAACTGCCAAGTAGGCTTCCCTTTGTAATCTCAAGGTTTGTTGCCATGTTGCTGAGTATCCTCTCGATGGTAGATTCGCTGTCTGCTCGAGCGTCTTTGTTCAGACCTTGCTGTGTCCTCTAGAGGGNTCACCGGGATGCGAACTGGCGACCTTCTAGCTGCGAGGCGACAATGCTAACCACCGAGCCACCTTGCAGCCTGCCTTTAACATATGTCACTTGCAAGTCTGATCACATGGATTTTTGTACTGTAAACAACTGCAGAAGTTTTAAATCTAAGTGTGTACCTGTGGTAATGCACATAAACTAAAACATGAATAAAAAAGTAGAACTTCTGTTGAGAGGATATTGTCAAAAATCTGATCTGTGAAATCTGTCAAAGCAGAAGGACTCACTGTAGCCCATCAGTTCACCACCAGGAGCCTCAGCAACGATGAAGTACTCCGGCCAGTGAGCCAGATACTGGAGGTAAAACGGGATCCCATACTGGAAGTCAAAGGTTAGAGAAAACTACACACTTCTATTACAAATAATAACATAATATATGTGCAGCATCAACATTATAAGGTTTAAGAAGGAAAAATGTATCGCACAACTTAGACTGTATTGGTCTAATAACCTGCAAACTGTGTGTAAATTAGATGCCAGATCCCTACACAGACTGACATTTGGTGATTTAATCTATGACATGACAATACGGTAATCATGACATGACATTAAATAAACTTACAGAAAATCAAGGATACAGTTTCTGTCAGAGGATCCAAGTTTCTGTTGACAAAACAAAAACATGAGTTAGCTGTTAAATTGTCATTATTTACCTGTATCATACCAGGTCAATAACAATTGAATTGCTAGTCTTCCTTTTTCATGAAAAAAAATCTAATAATGGAAAGTTTCCTTGTTTGAAGTTACCTATGAACATTCACGCAGGAAAAAGAAAACAAATACATATATAGATACATAAATACATATAATTTATATTTTCCTTTGGGTCTGCTGGTAAATTGTGCATACCTGTGCCCGACCAACACCCTTAAATTTCGTTCAAAATGACACGTGAATTGTTTTTACTGCTCTGTGAACTCGTAGTTAGCTACCTAGCTAGCTAACGAGATAGCCTGCCTACTAAAGCAAACATGCTTGACGTATTTAATTCTGCCGATTTTTTTCAGGAGATGCTACTGTTCGCATCATGTTTGAATTGTGTAGTAGGAAGTGACGACTTGCTACAGTATCAGCAAATGCCATAATTGTTGAATGAAGTTTGGCACAACGCTCTTTCCCTCAGCAGTAAACGGGAAGTCTACCGGTTAGCCTGCTAACGCTGCTGCACCCACAAACACTTAACAAATGGACAGCGGACACCTGTTTAATAACACTAGATACAGCTTGTGCGGTCACACTTCACAGGAGTTTACTCACATGTTGTTGAATTTAAACAAATCATCGCAGGTGAACGGCCGCAGTGTTGTCATCTTGTCTTGCTGCTGTGTGTCCTCTGACCTTAAACTGGAAGCTGCTTATTTTTAAAGGCAGAGAGAAAGCGAGGCGCGCCCCCCGCCGACCAGAGCAGGTACTGCTTCCGTTGTAAAAGTGCAGCGTGTGTCTGAGGCTGCGTTTGGAAGGCCCTTGTTTTTTGTTTGTTTTTGTTTGGTTTTTGTTTGTTTGTTTTTAAATAAAGCTATAGGCACTTGAATAGAAAGTAGTATTTTGTGGAAACACGATCCTGCTGAATGATGGTGAGTTGCTGCTTCAGTCTGAACCCAACACCTCTCTCTGAGTGGACACTCTACCGCTGATCACCAGCAGATGGCGCTATACGCCAGTGTAGTGTTGCCTTGTTATGAAAGGTTCTGCTTTTGGAGCAAAAATGAATCATCAAGCCTTCAAGAATTGCACTGTATGTTTGTACATAACACATTTAGAATGGCTCAAAATAAGAACAATTTGAAGTCACGCATTATATGATGACCTCGATCTACAGGAAAGTATGTCTGGAGAATAATGAGGTGCGAACTTTAACCCTTGCTCACAAGTTCTCTGGTCAAAAACAAACCTAAATACCACAACAAAGAAGCTGGTGTGAATTGACAGAGACCCAAGATATGGAGGCTTTGCAGCAGCTAACATTAAAATGAGCTGTTTGTGTGTGTGTCTGCAAAAACACCTGTACTTGAGACCTGCTGCACCTGTTAAACCATCAGACTTGTGCAGATGCCAGTGACATGAAGTTGTACTGTAGGTCATATGTCTCTCACTTGGATATTCTTCACTGTTCTTGTGTTCTTTTCCATATTTTAGTATTTAGTATATAGTTTGTTTAATTTCAGAAGAAAGTGTGAAAATGAGCACATTCTAATAACTATGGTATACAGCACTTATATATTCAGTAAATAGACCACTCTGTGTATTTATCCCACATTATAAAAATATTGTATATATTAAAACGCTGCATAATTTCAGGATGAGGTCACAGACATCTTTGACTATCCATCCATCCATCCATCCATCTTCTCCCGCTTATCCGGAGTCGGGTTGCGGACTATCCAGTGGTTTTAAAATGCTCCTATGTTGTTCTTTTTTGCTAAAATTATTTTCTAGCATTGAAGTATGGTTCTTCAACATCTTATATCAAAGGAAGGGGTCGTGATATAACATTTTCAAAGAAGCAGAGATATTTTATTCAAAGCTCTTTTGTTGGTAAAGTTTGATCAGATCAACTGTCCGATACACTCACACATGCACAGTAAAAATATCAATACCTATCAATTCTATTTTCACAATTATGCTGGCATTTTATTTCATCCATCCATCCATCCATTCTCTTCCGCTTATCCGGCGTCGGGTCGCGGGGGCAGCAGGCGGAGCAGGTCGTCCCAGACCTCCCTCCCCCCGGCGACGCTTTCCAGCTCTGCCTGGGGGATCCCGAGGCGTTCCCAGGCCAG